CTGGCGTCTGACCCAGTTTACGTGACAAACACCTTAACTGGTTTCCCCACAGCCACGTTCTTGCTAACTCGTCTCACTAAGTTAAAAAAGAAGAATTCAAGGCACTGTTTTAAAAACAACAAAACCCTAGAAGACCATTGGATGATGTCCGTATTCTGTAACGGGGACTTCTAGACCAACAACCTTTTTAGCTTTACTTCTACAATCCCTTTCAAGGGACTCCTTCAAAGACCCTCCCCACTTCACCGTGAACCTCCCAGTCCTCCCAAGAAAGTCTCTCCCTCCTTTGGCCTCTGACCACCCCGAGCCAAAGAAATCTGTTCGTGTTTATAGAGAAGGGCCTGACAACCTAAAGACTGGCTCTCCTCCCCAAGGCCCCGCCCTCCACACCAGCTTCTCCCTGTCCCTGCACCACCCTGCCACCCTCCAGGGTCCTGCCAGGGAATTCCTCCAGCCAACCTTTGGGACGTTTCAGAATTCACTTCCTTAGGTCAGTGCCTGGGGAAGCTCTGTGAAGTACTCCCCAAGGTGTGACTAGCCGGGGGTTTTCAGGAAGCTCCGTAGCTCTTAGGAGTTGACCTGGTTTGAGCCACTTGGCAAACAGTTACCATTTAAGTGGTGGTTTCTGCTATTTTGAGACTGTGTTGACCAATAACCATTCGTTTTTCTAGGTAGAACTAGGTCTGCTACAGACTTAGAGCACTGCTATGTGTGGTTTTGGTCTCACGTCCCTGGAATCTTGCTCAGTGCAGTCAGGGTAGCCCGTCCATGGCCCCGTGTTGCTGTGCTTGTTGCTTTGAGTTGGCTCTGACTTTTGGCAACTTAATGCGTGACGAAGCAAGCTGTCGCCCGATCCCATCTTCATGATTGTATGTGGTTAGGGTTCACTGTTTCGGCTATTGTGTCAGTCCCTCTTACTGAGGGTTTATTTTATTTTCACGGACCTTCTACGTCACCATATAGGGCTGTATCCTAAGAGAAGCAGCTGGGTAAGAGTCTTTGTTCGGGTGTCCAGCGAGATGGAAGCATATGTGCTAGAATGCACTTGCATGGACGAAATGAAATGTGTGTTTATACGTACACTCACTCCACAGCTGCTCATTTGATTTTGTTATTCTGGAAACATTTTTTTTTTTCAATCCGAATTTGTTGTGAAGTGTCTCAAGAAAACGGAATTCCACCCGGGAAGTCCAGCCTGCCTCCTATTCTTTGCCCATTCTGTCCTGTGTCAGATTCCCGGCTGTTCCGTTCAGCTTTCCTTGGGTCGGGGCAGTGGGGCAGGGTGTGTAACTGTCGGTGGAGAAGAACAATCCCTTCTTTGACTCCCAGGATTGATTTCATGGCGCGTTGGTAGCTATTGCTTCAGGTCTGCCTTATTCCCTGAGCTGGACCCGAGTGATGTTTAGAAAATAACAAAGAGCCTATCTTGCAATCGACGAAAGGCTGTAGAAATGCTTGTCGTGTGACTAGGGGGCCTGTCTTTACAAATGATCCTGAGGCCACCGTGAGTCAGTGAGCGCCTCCTCAGTGGCAGCTAACAACCACAGCAGCCAGTCCCAGAGCCTTACCAAGTGCTCACACGGGAGAAGTCATGTGAGTGAGCATTACTTAATAGCTTTCTTTAACTTCACAGTATTTGAAGCCATGCCGAAGGAGATGCCATTTTAATCAAATGCATTTTGTATGACATCTCTCAGCCTAATTCTTTGGGTTCAGAGTAGAATTTGTCCAGAAAGGAAACAAATAACCAACCTGTAGATTAGATGCAAAATCAAGTGTTAAAAACACTTTACCACCAAAAAACACCTACATGGGAGACTTCTAGCAGGATACTATTTACAAGGAGAGAACACGACGTGATAGAGCGACGTCTGGACAGGAAAGAACTCGGTCTGACTCTCTTGACTTTCTGAGTATCTAGACGTGGAACCTGGGGGATCCCATTAACCCCTTAAAACTCCGTTTTCTCACATATGTAGGCCTTAAAAGGGTTGGTGGGAAAATTCCATTATCTCTTCACTTTTCCACAAATGTTTCGAAGCCGCTTGTGCAATAGAGTGTGGTGTGACCCAGTCCTCGTTCATCTTCAAGGTCGCTGGTATGTTTGAGTCCGTTGGCGCAATGACTGGGTATTGCCAGGGATTTCCAGCCCAATGAGGAGCCCGAGTGGGGCAGCGGATGATTAATGGGCTGCAAGGTCGGCAGTTGACTTGGCTAGTCACTCCAAGGGAGGGTGACGAGGCTTTTTGCTCTGAATCCACTGGATGGCATCGGCTCACTCAGGACTCACCTTCCAGAACTGTATCATTGCATCTGTAGGGTTCTCATTGGCTAATTTTTGGAAATGTATCACGTGGCCTTCCTTCCTAGCCTGTCCTAGTCTGGGAACTCCACTGAAACCTGTCTACCTTGAGTGGCACACTGGTGTTTGAGACACTGTTGGCAGAGCCTCCAACACCCTTGAACCCAACCCTCCTCGTTGGCACCGTGTTAATGGCTGCTCACCGCAGGCCGTGGGACTGGGTAGACCTGCCCCCAGGTGTGCAAGGAGCTCATGTCGGCCGAAGCAGACGACCACATGCAAATCGCCAGAGCCTGGCACACTGACCTGTGGGTGGCAGGCAGACTCCTAGACTCGCTTTTGAAGAAAAGTTAAATCAGAAATTTAAAACGCAGCCTCCTTGTGATTCTAGCCGTGTGATTCCCATTGATTTCAGGAGAGGCCTTCCAAAACTTGGCACTTGGGTTTCCTATGTTTTTAGATGTTTGAAATGTTCAGCATATGCTAATAGAAGCCATCGATGTTTCGTTTGGGATTTAAGACAGATATGAAGACATCATTTTGACCCTAAGAAAGCCCGTGCTTAGCACATGGTAGGAACTCAGTAACGATTTGCTAGAAGAAGGAGTGAATCGTAGGACATTTTCCCAATTGTGTTAAGTATTAAATGACTGTTCTTATTCATAGCGCTTAGCCTCTGTGGGACTGGACGCCAAGAACACAGTCTGCATTTGGGACTGGAGGAAGGGGAAGCTGCTGGCCTCGGCCACTGGCCATTCTGACCGGGTAAGAACCTTGTTGGGAAGAAGACAATGTTCTAGAACTGATTGTGGTAATGACTGTTCAACTCTTCTCGATATGATTGAACTACTGAATTATGTGACATGTGAAATGCAATAAAACTGTTTTTGTTAAAAAAAAAAAAGATTAACAGCAACACAAAACAAAACAAAAAAAGAACAGCTCGTTGGGCCCAGCCGTGCATAGGTCATAACTGTGGAGGAAATGCAAAATTGCTTTTCTTATTCAATCTTTTTACGAGGAAACTTGCCACATACTGATTATTCCCAGAGTCCACTTGAGAACTTATAATTTCCTATTGATTCACGACTCAGAGCCAGTGTGCTGGTGTGATCTCTTCTGGTAGTCGCAGGCTTTGTGTCGATCGCTGCTCCTGCTTTCTATCGGCAACGGGTATTTTTGATGTCGGCAGTCAGCGTCTTCATGAACTCGAACCAGAATTTGAAATTACATATATAATTTGAAAAAGTAGCTTAGAAATGGAAGTAGCTGTTTAGAAAATAATGTCGGGTACAGTATAATTGTAGGGGCGTGCATTCCAATTTCGGAAGCGTGTAAGGTAGCTTTCAGAGTCTTCGTTACAGTGGAGAACTGAGGATCAATGGTGGCTGGCCTGTCATTCACCTCGATGTCCCTGTGGGCAGCGGTGATGACATGTCGACTCATATCTGGTGAGGGGGGGAGGGAAGCCAGCATGTGTCTATACCTGGTCAGAAATCTCTCTCCCCGGGGTCTTACATAACTGGACTGCTTGGGCTGCTTTATTGGCAGGATTTTCTAGTTAAAAGGCACAGTGGCTCTGGATGACCGTCTTACACTGATTTCTAGCTCTTTCTTTCTTCTGCACAATATAAAGGCCCATGTGGACCAAGCTCCTCACTAAACATTTAAGTCACTAGTTCCTTCTTGCTGTGAACTTCAAATTTGATTTTTTTTTACATGAATAGTACATTCGTTTAGAGAGAATTGTGGTTGTTAGAGGGCCCCACGGTTGCTGCACATTTGGAGGAACTCCACTCCAGGACCAAATTCTCAGAAAGTCCAGGAGGGACCAGTCATAGGACTTAAGTGTTGAGAAAGGGCAGACATCGGGCACCGGGGGGTTCTAATTCAACTGTTTGACAACACTTGTGATACTTAAGTCTTGGCTGTTACTGTGAGTGCTTATCTTGTGACCCCATAAAAAGTTGAATGGGACTCGGTACCAGCCTGGATTTCCAGTGGCCACAAAAAGTCAGCTCGAGACCCAGGGCACCCCGTCGAGGAGCCCTCTCCAGCGCTCACGTCAGAAACGCAAACATCACACAAGTATCGTGGCCAAGTTAGCCTTTAATGCGTACCCCTGTTGTCACTGTCTGTCGTCCGGCCTGAGTGACGGGGCTCCAGTGCATCAGAATCCGGGGCCCCTAACAGTGTGAACACTCTAAACTAGTGAAACCCTTTACTTAGACCGCTTCCTGCATCACTTTGTGTTATCAAGGCTTTTGCTGTTCTTGCTCAATCTAATGAACGCTGTTGGACCTGTCTGATTCAACGACCTCGTCCCACTGCTTTGCTGAGACGTGCAAGGTGCCTTCTCCAGTTCGGGGTCCACTATAAACGTGCAAAGCCACTCCCTGAGAAGGCTGTCATTTTCATGCCTCATGGAAATACTCTTTGCCCAGCACCCCTTGATCTGTTTGTGCCACACACAGTTCTGTTCCGCATTACAGAAGCCAATATGAATTATTGGCGCCTTTGGAGGAAATGATGATTCTCAACACTATTCTAGAAGCTAAATATGTTATCCCCCAAGTGCTTTAGAGCCCGCCAAGTGATCTCAAATCCGTTATCTTAATTGACCTTATAACGAAACTGAGGTAGCATCACCCGTTTTAGAGAAAAGGTGGTTACGGGTAGAGGGGGTAAAATTTGCCTGAGATTTCATCACTGAAATGGGTGCTTGGAGCCCATGGGCACTTGGTAGTTGGTATGCGAACAGGGCTCTCTGGCTCTGGGATCGCTCCTTCCTGCCTGGCCTGGGGGTTGGTAGAGCAGTCCTGCTACCTGAGAGTCAGTCGCCCACTGGGGACTGTTCCAGTCCATGTGATGAAGGTAGCACCCTGCTCCTCGCCTAGATCAGGCCCTGACAGCGCACCCAGCTGTTTCTCTCAGCACTTCATCCGGCATGGCCCGGACCCCCTGCATCAGAATGCCCTGGGGTCTGTTCGGAAAGGCAGTGGACTGGACCTGATCGCAGATCACTAGGCCAGAGTCTCTCCAGCCGCCCTGGGTGTCTAAAGCAGCTCCTCCAGGTGATTTGATTCTCAAGGTGGGTGGGAATCAGCTCTCCCTGCCCCCATACTGAAGGTAAAACTAATGGCAAACTAGTGTTGGTGTTGTTAGGTTCGGACCCATAGCCCCTAGAGATGCAACAGACCCAAACCCTGCCCGGTCCTGCACCATTCTCCCACTGGTTCTGTGTTGGAGTCTGACAGTGCAGCCCGATGTCCATCCATCCTGTCCAGGGCCTTCCACTTCTTGTTAAATCATTTAATTGGGAGCTCATCCAGATATGATAGCAATCAATTATATCAAGCAAAGTTGTACATACGTTGCCATCATCATTTAGAAAACATTATCTTTATATCAAAGCCTTTATTATCAGCCGGCCTTCCTCTTTTTTTTATTGTATTTCCAGTGTTCCAAGTAAATGGAAACATATCTGTTAATATCATTGCACATT